GTTAGGTCGAATAGCTAGATTATAACCCACTGGACATTACGAAATACCTGTAACCGCACCGAAACAACATGAAGCGAACGAAAGGAAACCAGCCGGTTTACCCAAGTTGGTGGCAGAGATATTTTATATTGAAACCCATTATCACTGAAATTATCGTGTGTAAGAGGCTAGCAAATAACTTTTTAGACTATACAATAAGCCTGGAGCTGCTACTGGAACATTAAAAAGTAGGGCGAAAGTGGTCAAGTGATTCATATTGCTTCGTCACAAAATTTTGGTCATACAGCGCATCACATATCATTGTGCCGTATATCTTTAATATGAGCGTTAGTGTTATGTGGCCAATTAAAATTGACTGTCTTGTTACTTGTAACATAGTTTGTCTCTATCAATATGGATAGCTATCACTAACAGTGAGACCATAAATTATGGACGAACTGATGAGATTTGCAACAACAGGCCTAGGGTTTTGGCGAAAAATTCATTTATCACTATGTCATGCGATGAGCAACGATCCAGGGGTATCACGACACATTTTTGCGCTACTTTTTCATTTCTGCTTTGTGCACAGCCAAAATTGGAAAGTTTACTTGCCGTTTTCACAATTAAATGGAAAGATGTTTTTCCATTTTGCGGTGCATTGTATCGCGAAGTCCTTGAAAATTCATTATTCAGGTGCTGCTATAATAGTTTTTTCGTATTTGCATCGCAGACTAACAATTATCTCTACTTAACTACACACTAAGAGAAGTCAAATCATTTATTTTCATATGGAATGACATGATCCAAGCATATATCGTCATAAAAATGGTATTGTCGTCAAGGCTACCAAAACTGCGCTGCAAGTAACGATAGAAGTTGTACGCTCTTATGAAGAATGATGATCACCATCATCATCTACATCCTGAACGCAAGCATCTGACTCTGACGAACTGCGTTTACATCCATATGTACTGACATATCTCACAAACAAGTACTTTAGAGCTGAGTCATCATTGTTCTTTTTACATACTGACATAACGTACTTAGTATGCGTATACTACAAAAATAATCATTAACTACAGAAGTCATACTACCTTATGTACTTCTTTAAAACAGGTCTCAAAATTGTTCCAACTTGTAACTCTCCGAGATAACATAATATTCAGATTCAGATTTGTATAGTAAAAACAGAAGCCCAACGGCTATGTTATTCCTCTTCCACTACGCTTCTGTGAGTGTCCAGTCTTCTCTTGAAAGAGTCAATTGAAGGTGCGGGCACCACTGATTTGGGCAGCAGGTTTTAAGTACTGATGACTCGGTGTGAAAACCTGTATGCCACGGGTATTTTGTTCGTTCTTGGCTTTTCTACTCGCCTGCTATGTCCTCTGAGATGTCCCGATCTAGTGGGAAAAAAAGAGAGTAAGTTAAGTTCAAAATCATTTCTCAGTATTCTGTACATCAAAATTAGATCTCCCCTTAATCTGAGATAGGACAGAGTAAAAAGGTCCAGCTTTTCAAGCCGCTCTTTGTATGGTACACCCCGGAGTTCTAGAATTGCACGGGTGGCTGCCCGCTGTAGTTTTCTAGGATATCCGAGTCACATTTTAAACACGGGCTTGCAGCTTGAACGCAGTTCTCAAGCTCAATTCTCACTGAGGGTGTGTATAATTTGGTGAACATGGTAGTATCTAGCTTAGTGAATGTTCGTTTTAATGCTCAGAGGGTTCGAAACCCCTTGGCTGCGACCTCCTGGCAATGGGTTGCCGTCTTAAGATCCTGACCTACTGTCACCCCCAGATCCAATCCACTAGTAATTGCACTTCTCCTATATTATACCTATTGACCTTTGAGTCCCCGAAGTGCGTGTAGACACATTTTGTAGCGTTGATAGGCATCAGCCACTCTTTAGACCAGTTAATTATATTATTTATGTCTGCCTGAAGAGCATATGGGTCTGTGTCTCCAGTTATTACTCGCCAGATCTTTACATCGTCAGCGCATAACAACATTGGAGACTGTACTATACTTGGAAGATCATTTACATACATTATAAAAACGAAAGGACCTAGGACGGAACATTGAGGTACTCCACTAAGTACTGGTCTTCAGATGGAGCACTTGGAATTTATTCTTACATTCTGTCTACGACCTACTAGGAAATCCTTAATCCATTTTAAAAGAGGTCCAGCAATATCAAGGTTTTCCAACTTCAATAAGAGTCTATTTGTTGACACCTTGCCAAAAGCCTTACTGAAGCCTATGTAGTCAACATCCACTGGGTTTCCATTGTCTAGCGCCTTTATCCAAAATTCCATTGTTATAAGGAGGTTCGTTGTACAGAATAGACCCTTTCTAAAATGATGCCGTTCTCTATCTAGCAGGTTATTTGTTTCAATAAATTCCATTATGGTCCGTTTGACTATTCCTTCCAATATTTTAACTACAACACTGGTGAGACTTACAGATCTGTGGTTCGATGGAACTTGTCTTGGTCCTGTTTTATGTATGGGAGTGACGATTGCGTCCTTCCAGTCCATAGGTAATACACCTTGATGAAGTGACATATTGAATATCACAGTCAGTGGGGCCGCGATATATTGTGCCATATGTCTCAATATTTTAGGATGTAGTTCATCTGCTCCTGTTGACTTTTCCATGTTTAAGGTGTTAAGAACCTTAAGCACATCATCTTGGTCAAAGTCCACGGTGAGCAGGTGGTTTATTGACTATTTGTTTTGGTCTGGTTCTTTGTCCAAAGGAGGTTCCTGAGTGAAAACTGCCCCAAAGTAGTCAGCCATAGCCTCTGCTTTGTCCTGATCTTCCCCTATCATTTCAGATTCACTCATTTCTTTAATTAGATTTGGAATCCAATGATGCATCCTTGTTCTGTAGTTTATGTACGAGAATATTCTCTTGGGGTGCTTGAGTGCTGATTGTGCCAACTGCATTTCATATTTTTTTGAGCTTCTCGAATTTTTGTTATACACTTGTTTCTTACCGATCTGTAGTGTTCAATCGTACCTGCTCTGCCAAGGCGAATGGCGACATCCCTGCCTATCCAGGGATGTCCGTGTTTCTTCTTCTTTGGGACTGTCCAGGGTATGTATGGTTGAGTTATCCGGTTGTATAACTGCCTAAAATGCGTCCATGCCTCTTGTACTGATGCCCTTGAGTCAATTTCCCAGTTTTCAGCCGATGCTGAGGAGTTGATGGCCTCCATGTCTGCCTTCCATATGTTAAGACGGGCCGGCGCAACTTTTTGACAGGCAATCTTGGCCACGAATTTGAATAAGATGACTGAGCGGTCACTTCTCCCTGGTGGTGGGAGGAAAGTCATTCGACCAAGGTCATCACCGTGTGTGAAGACTAAAACTAAAAGAGAAGAGTTTCTTAAGTCATATGTTGTGGGAGTTCTAATGTGTTGGAATAAAGCGATTCCGATCGAGGTGTCTAACAGTTTGAAATCGAACGACGTTATCGATGACCCTACTTCTAAGTTAATCAAGTTTATGTACGGTGCACTACTACAAGGCTTTTATTCTTGTTACACCAGGACTTAAGCTTACTTAAGAGAAAATCATCTACCACACATTCTGGACTGCGATATACTACAACTAATTCAATACATTGCCGTCTACATTTCAGCCTACATCGCACCAGTTCACATGTCTCTGAAACATATGCTACTGTCTCAGCTACTCTTATGGTTAGGGTACTTTTCGTGTACAGGATTACCCCGCCTCTCCTGCGATTTAATCTATCAGCCCTACTGGATAAAAAACCAGACAAGTGAATTTCATTATCCAATACTTCCGGCGCTAACCAAGTTTCTTAGACAGCAATAACATTGGGTTTCTCTTTATCTACCATTGACTTAAGCTCCTCCATTTTATTTAGTAGGCTGCGAGCATTTGTGTAGCATACCTTTAAGTCTGTGGAGAACTTTCCCTTACCACCCAGAGTGGTTTGGGGATCGTTTTGCTCCGAACTTTTACAATTTGAAAACCCTTAAGAATGAGGTTTCTTTCGCCGTTTCGGCGACGCTCATTTATTTCCACTTCTGCAGCTCGTCTCTTAATGCGATCAGCTAGGCTGAGATCCTCACGGACATATATTCCGGATCCAATCAGTTTACGTGATTTACCTAGAATCAGGTTCTCTTCTTCAACCGTGGCAAATGTAACCTTTAAGAAGCGGTTTTTCTGGGGGTTTTCAGAATCCACCTTTCGTCCTATTCTATAAAGCCTACAAATGCTAAATCCCGAAACTGTATCCAGGAGTAGTTTGCTTATTGAGGACTTAGTGTGACTGAAGTCGTGTTCAAATCTAGCCCTTGGTTTCTTATCGGAAGACTCTCTTAACTTATGAAAAATGACTGACCTCTCAGAGAGATCTGTCTTGAGACTCAGTGGAATTTTTGTTTCTGATACCGTCTCTTCCAATGACTTGCTAACCATCTGCGGTTTGCCTACAGCTTTTTTCTTCTCATTTCTCTTTCTCCGTGCTGAAGTCCATTTATCCTCACTCAGGACAGCCACACTGGGACTATTTGGAACGATGACAGTGTTATCCGGGTCTTCGATTTCCACTAACCATTGTAATTTGATTTAAAACGTTTAAAACACACTATGATCACAACGTGAACACGAGTGTCAGTCAATTAGTAAGCAAGAAAGGTACCATAGGACAAAGTTTAGAGGAAATTTTAAACCTTAACCAAAGTACTTTTAGTTAAAGTAGACCAAGAATGATTTGTGTTGCAACTAGTACACAAAGCAATGATAATCACTCCTCTTTCTGAAACGAGCGCGTTAAATATATGAGATTCGTCCTATATCATGCATCATCACGATGGCATCATCTTCGGTACTTGAGGGATGGACGTTATCAGACATGGTGTGGTTGAACTTAATTCAAATCTGAAAAACTTCGCGAATTGTCGCTGTGACGCACCAATCATCTTGCGACAGTTTGACCTTCAAGTGCTCGCAACCTCCAACCGTGGACGTTACCCCTGAAGCGTTGCCCATGCGATGCCGGTGTTTAGTATTGACCACGTGCACGTTTAGTCATTTCATGATTTGTTTATACGTAAATGTAATGGCTAAACACAATGATTTAAGTTTTTGCAACAGGTAACTACAAAAGAAGGTTGCGCAACACCTCAGATCCTTATAAAGATCCTAATAAGATTACTAAGTAATCTTGGAGATAGTTCGTATTACTTTGCACTACAAATCTTGCTAGTAGTCACCCGAATATGTTGTCATAGTTAAGTAAAATACATGTATGATGTAGTGTTTTCGTGAAATTTGTAGACTGGTTTACTACTTTATTATGACTAAACGTTCTCTGTTTGACTAGTTTTATGATATAGGTAGTTATTTCCTTTCACGACAGTATGAACCTCTGCAGATGTAAGTACCTGTCAATCAAAGTTTATGCTTACTATTTTATGAGATTGTTCTATGTACAGTGGACTATTTATTCTTTGATCGTGTTCTCTGATCTTATTCACTTCCCTATATAACACTACCAATTTTATATTCATCTTAGTGATTTTGTGTCGCTGTTTTGATATGATGAAGTAACAGGCTGATGCATATGTGTTAGCCTAATCCCCTTATTTTGGGGAAGCCACTATAATGAAATTTTGGGAAAATGGCACAAAGCCCCCAAATTTTGATGAGAACTGCCAACTTTGGGAGAAACCCCAAAATCCCTCAGTCAGGAAGTCGGGAGGTTTCCACGTTACTGATGACTGATCGAACCTAACGTTCTTGATCCTCATTTTACATATAATTCTCGATCAACATATATTATTTATGATATATGTAGAAAAGCTCATCAAAGTAATTTTCGTAAGTTTCTCGTGAAAACAAAGAAAAGCTGTTATCAAGATTAAGAACTCTTGAATCAGCGGTGTACATCTTTCGGTGCGACTATAATTTATGGACGATTCTTGATCGTCTCTAAAAAGACCTTGATAATGTTCATCTACATACTACGTCTAACTGCGCGTTATAAACCAGTGTGAGGAATCAGGATTAATATTTACAGTTGATAGTTAGGGCTAGGAATTCGATTTAGGGCTTTCATCACAAAATGACATCAGCTATAATACCAGAACTCAAAACCTGTTATCGCAAATCTGATTGGTTCCTTCATAAATTGTAGTCTCGCCAATATTTGGAAAATGTGTAGAGGAGTACTCGAACTCATGAGTGAGATGTAGATAATAAGTGAATACATTTGCGCAATTATGCTACTGTATTGTTCAGTTTTTGAAGTTCGAGTGAACTCTTAATACAGATTCATTTTGTAATGATATCACACTTATTGTTATCTCCTGCTTCGGTTTAGGCACCCGGGCAGTATCATATTCCTCACATAAATCAGTGATTACTACTGGCCTGATTGTTTTTGTGTGGTGCATATATATGTAGTGCTCTTTGTACCAATGTTTTTATGTTCAAATAAGTATTGCTAACTACAGAGGGTTAAAATATTTTGACTCATAGCTCTTTTAGCCATTTTTCAAGGTTTCACTCGTTTAACTAACTATAATAAATGATATCTTTTATAAAGATTCTGACCAATTACCATTTAATTTAAAAAGATTCGCCAATAAGTCCAATCCAATATATTTTTCGAGGTAGCTCATTGGAAAGTATTCAGTATGAAAACAATTCAGCTAGCGTATTCAGCGATTCGTTATACAACAAATGTACCAGTGATGATAGCACTCTATTCTCAACGTCCTGTCTATTTATTTCTCGGACGAAGTTTGAACACGGCATCTACTTTAATTCAACCTCATTTAACAGATAAACATCGTGGAGTAAGTGAATAATACTTAATTCATAGTCTTTAGATAATTGAGTCATGCTGCACCATCGAAGTTACAACCGATCGGCTAAGCTATGCATCTTTGTGCCTGGATCCTGAAAATAAAAATTCAGTTATCCTTTCCAGCTGGAACAGCCTTTCACTCAATTTGCCTTCTGGAAAGGAATTCAAACCGTATATGTGTTCCTCCATGGTAGTTAAAGGCCTTTTTCCTGTTTGAGTAAACTGGTTTTTAGTCCTTGGATATTGATAATATGTAAACTTCTCAAAAGCCTGATTCTTGGAGTTATTTTCTGGAAATAATGTTACAAATTTCCAGTAGTAAATTTTGGTGTATTTAAGTTTGTAGTTATCTAGGTGAAATCTAATGTAACAGAACTGTACTTGTACTGTTTACCTCGAAAACACCACAGCTTCTGTTAAATTCATTAAGAAACCTTCATGATTTCGATCTATGTGCTGTTTATATTTACATTAATCGGTCATTATTAGTTCCCAATTACCTATGAATTTTTCCTGCTATTGGTTGCGTACATATTCTTGCACCGTTATTCTTATTCAGAGCCATGTATAAGGCGCATAAATCAGAAAGACCAAACTATACTATCTTGAATAATTTTAGTTCTAAATAATGGCTATTGTATAAAAACATACCATAGGTATGACATGTCTAAAAGTAGACACAATCTTGAGGAACCATCAATTCCATTCGGAATTTAGATGTGTTTAGGATTTGCCTTGAAGTTCTCATAAAACGTCTCCAGAAAATTAATTGTTCTGCTTAATGACTTTGTACTAAACGATTTGCTCTGTTTAGGAACTGGAAAATGAAATTTGGTTCGGTTAGTAATTTATCAAACACTTGTAATAGATCTTTACTAATTACAAGAATCAGGGTTAATGATTTACTTGAGACGTTATGTTAAAGTGTGGTAAAACAATTCATCGAAGCGTATTCCTTCAAAATGTTCGTTTATTCTAGAATCTAACCAATAATAATAATGGACTCCTTAAACCAAACTAAATACAACAGAATGTTACGTATAACTAAATAGTTAAGTTCACTGTCCATATTAGTGATCTAAAGTCCCAAGTATGAATTATTTTTCAAAAGCACTAGTAGCTGGGGTTCGTTTCCACTACAGCTTATCCTCTATTTAATTGAACCGAAAACTTCGTATCTACAACAATATTGATATGCCAATCTGTCTCTGTAAATAAATGTGTAAATGCTAGTAATCTTTCTAGATAATGAAATGTTCGCAATAAAATCGTGCGACCAATAAACTGACAACATTAACAATTTCTGGTTATTATACTTATCAGTGATTTATCATTTTGCTTTTACCGCACATAAGCTCTAATTTGTATAATCTTGAGTTTCATTCGACTTCAAGGTCGTCAAAATCACTCCTCACCCAGTTTCCTTTATATTTACTTCAAGAAGAAGTATCCCCTCAGAGTATTAGCAGCCGGTAAGTGATAACAACCCTGATATCTTTAACAGCACTGGATGTCACTTCGTTCAAAATGTAGAGTAGTTAATAAAACTTAATAATCACCACGTATGCTGTCTAGTGTTTATATTGCTTCATCGTTCTTATTTGGACACAAAATTAGAAATTTTAAAAAAAGCCCGGTATTCAAATATTTGCAATTTTAAATAAATACTTCATCCATCATCTAGGTGTCTTAATTCTGTTCTCTTTGTGTAATTACTTAAATTGAACAGTGAACAAGCTATCATCGATTAGTAGACACTAATGCTGAAAATTAGCTGTAAATTTTAGTCAAATTAGTGATGCAACTACTTCAAGGTTTTAAATCAACATAAAGTACGTATAAGGGAGGAAGATCGGTTGTTAACTAGAGGTAAATTATTCAGGGTATCAGTACAGCCACCTGTCAGTTATCGATAGTAATTGTTATGATTTCTCTTGTTACGACCCAGCTACTATTTGCTTGTTATTCTTGAACACTCACTTGACAAGGCCCCAAATCAGAACACGGTTTAACAGGAACGTAATTATATTCCAAATAACAAGAGTAGATGGACGTAGAAATATATTTATAGTTTTTGAATGGGAAGATTCTAGAGTCTTCTCCAAGTATCCGCTAGCGCTAATTGGATAAGAAATAGTCAATCAGTGCCCCAACATAATCTTGCACGGAATGTGCTTTAATCCAATCTATATTCCGCTAACATTACTACAAATCGATGGTCAATTAAGTTTCCGTATTAAGTTTTCAGTCGCACTTATTGTTCGGAAGCTAAGTAGACTATTTGTCCACGCAAATTAACTCGAATGGACCGGTATTTAAAATTACGACTCATGTTGAGCGCTTTAACTATCGAGCTACAGCTTTATATGCATTCACATTCTTTTTAAATTAAAAATCCAACTTTTAAGGATTATTTTGTATGGAATCTTGTTTCTGAAAATATTAAGGTTTACTCAAGTAGAATGGAAAAGGTGGTAACTAAGTAACTTAACTTACTGAGTGGAGGTTTATGCACTTAATTTCTAGTCATGGTTTAGTTGGATTACGGCTAAGTGCATTGAAAACGATGGAGCGGAGTTAGAACATGCGGCCTATTTATTGAAAGCATATTTTAATCTGACATCCTTTTAAGATATAATACTAGGTTACTAAATATGTTAAGTATGTAGATAAGTTGGATATAGCTGGGTATCTTTTGGTTTTAATTAATGCTATGCTTTTAGTAGTGGTTATTACGAATGTTTATATTACTAACAGTATTATATGACAAATAATAATACTTAACATGCACTTATAGGTTTTTGTACTAGTCTGTAAGTCATATGTATTTACTATGTAACATTTATTCACAGATCAAAGCTACTTAAACTTTGGTTGATGAAATATGATATAGAGTAGCGACTCAGTAGTTGAAAATAATTTTTTTAGGTGAATAATGACAGTTCTATATTTGAAGTAAATAAAGCATCTGTTTGTAACCTGAGTAAAGTTAAAAAATTTTATATTCTCTTCTGTGAGTTTCCTGTTGTATCAGAATTACTTATTTTCAAATTTTCTACCATATAGTTCAAAGCTACCACTCAACGTCTGGTACATGATATTTGCTCATCTGAAAAATTGACCAGTAGTCAGTTCGCCTTAGTGTATGTATCTTCTAAATTATCTTCAGCCTCATTGGTACGTGCGGGTTTTATGGGCTACCTTATCGGATATTTGTGCACAGAGTCCATTAAACAAGAATTTTTACCCCCATGCTACCTTCCCGTTTTCACCATGAATCATTCTTATCGAAAACATATTCTCTCATCGTGGAGATCTAAGTTTGTGAGCCGTAATCCAGAATGTATAATTCGTGGTATTGAAGATCTGTTTACCACACTACCTAAGCTTTCGTTTACTGACGGCAACTCTATAGCCACTTATACGAATATTTTTCTCAATATAGATGGCAATCTATCAAATTCCAGTGTACGTATTCCTAATGAGAATCAAAATATTACCTACAATCAACTTAGTCTTGCTAATGTTCTTGTAGACGGATATGGTTTTCTTGTCCATGGAATAATGGGTAATAAATTCACATCTTTAGAAGTCCTCCAACCTTCATATTCATCTTAGTGGTAAATGAAAAGGTAAATAATCTTTAAAGCAATCTTTTCAAAAATAACTTCTGATATGAACTATAGCTGGTCACTTTTTAGTTTTCGATATAGAATCGTGCCATGCTAATTAGTGCTTGTATTTAAAACAACGCTTTAGGCAGAAATACCTAGCAGATTTTCCTTTTACAAATTAATTTCAACGACCACTTACTTGTACTGCAAAAGATTAATTAAAGTACCAGAGAATTAACCTGTTCTATAGAGTCCATATATTGAATCTTTCGCTCTTTTTTTTCCATATTCTGCATTCCCTGGATACTTGTAGATTAAATTGCATTGACGAATAAACTAATTAAATATTAAGCTTATTAGAATACTGTGGATTGAAAAATGTAAGCAATTGTAAGGCAACTAATATGTTGGGCACCTCAATTTCTCAGATTAGTAAATAACCTATAAACCCAATATCCTATGACTATTTATGTTTAGTCTATATGATTTGACATCCAATACACTAGTTTAATGGTAGGCACGTCGAGGCAACCACGAAGGAGCTCTGGATTTGAATGATGAAGGTTCGAATTCCATAAGAAGTATAATTAGTCCCCTCAAGATTGCTGATTCGCTTTGTTGTTGGAAGTCGATCAATATAAATCTCAAGCTTTTTATCGATTGCTTTTAAATACTTAGCTTCAATAACCATTGGATGATTAAGCACCTGATAGTGTCTCACTTTATTACCTGTCATTTACTATCATCACTCTCGCTCATTTATTTATTTTTTAGGCATATAATTGTTCTAATATAATTAAAGACAACATTCTATGTAGTAACTATCTTGGAGCAAGTACTGATGTTATTCTCCGGCCTATCTCACCATTATCAACTTCATTTACTACAATCCATAACTTAGACGTTCGTAATGTCCATCAAGCTGTAATCATGGGTTATCTTTTAGCATTTTTATCATCCAATATTAACAATACATCAACAAGTCAATTATGCATATCAACTAATTGCCCAGCAATAGAAACTTTAGTAAAATGGACTAATCAATCAATTAATCGTTGGACAACTTATTTAAGTCATCAAATGTTTAAAAATCAATCCAATATTACGTTCTCTCTTCTTCCTGTGAAATCTAGTCATTTAAAAAATATATCAGCCCCAATAAAAACTATACATAATAATAATGATAATAATAATAATGATTCATCAGAAATTATTCAAATACGTGTAGAATCTTCACAATTGTTTTCAATTTATAAATGTTTTAATTCTAAAAATCATGAACATATTAATACTGTACAGTTTTTACTAGCTCGATGTTTGTTTACATGCATGTATCATTTGTTAAAGGATAGGTATTCGATGATGGTTTAAAGTCATTATTATTATTATGTTTTGTATTTATTATTACCTATTTTCTGTATAAGATTGAGTTTTGCTTATTGACAAGAAGTATGTATTTGAAAAATGTTCTTACATTTTGCTCTGTCGTTATTGTGAAATGAAATTGTAATTGATTATTCTTATTGGATGTTTTACACCGATCGACCAGTTGATAAACAATCCTGAACTAATCACGTGACTATTTGTTCGTAAGGTATGATACATCGGACGGTTTTGACCGGCTAGATAGTGACTGACCTACAAACTGACTTCTATTATGATGCCTAAATATATTTATTTTTTGTTTAGTATTTTATAGATAAGCTTGTTATTGTACATCAGAAAAATGTATTTTGAATATAGATCTTTTTTAATCTTGAAACATTCAGGCTATTGTGTCAGTGATTCGGTCTCATAAGTAGTCATTATCCGACTACATCATATCATTGCACATCAGCATTGTTTTTCGTTTTGACAATTGAAGATTCGTTCATAAATGCTACTTTATAGTAGACCAATTGGAAAGAAACTGCTAAAAGTATTTTATACACAAGCTTTGATTTTGTAATATTTAAGGTTTGAAACATGAGCTAATATCTTCGAGTCATACTTCCATTTCTCTAATTATCTCTGGATGGGTTCTCTTAGATACACTTTAGTTGAAACTGTGTCAATGTAAAATACTAGTACGCGTTCACGTTATTCTTTAATGAGCCGGTGGTAAAGGTTTCAGCTATATGTATGAGGACAGTAGAAAATCGCAATAGGAATCTCGAAAAGATTCAAGTCCATAGTAATATATGTAATTACTTTCATTACGTGATCCTGCTTCGGTTTGGGCACCCGGGCAGTAAGTATCACAGCCCTCAGACAAATTAAATAAGATTTGTGTGGTGCATATGTATTTGGTGCCTCCTTGTACCAATATCTATGTGTTCAAATAAATATTGCAGTACATGAACATACATTTTCGACATATATCTATCAAAGAGGGAATGAAAACAATGGGATTGCAGTGTCGTGGTAAAATGAAAAAGTTACTCATAGCTCTGGTATTTGGATACTGCGAATCCACCTAGGGAGTTGAAAAATCTTGATTTTTCAAACCAGTGATCCAAATAGACTAAAAACTTAAAAGAATGAATTACTACCATGCATTTACGTCTTTTGACATCGCTTCACTGCCCTGTGGTTTAAAGTTTTCGCTTAAAGACTGAATAATGCATACCTCAATGTAGGCCTAAATCTTCGAGTCCTTACAAATTCAAACAACATTCTGTTCATATTTTTGATGTTCTGGCAAAGTAGATTATTTTGTTACGCTTAGACTTTTAAAGTGTCTAGTAGTATATCAGGATATTTGCAAACCTTTTATAAACAGTCCTTAACAAAATTTTAGTACAGATATCTATATATCTAGTCGTGATGTCATGGAAAAACAGTCTTTAAAATAAACCAACCATTCACATTCCTTAAGCGGCTAAAAATCGAAAAAAACAACTTGAAATGAAGTGGCAAAGAAAATGGAAATGTAGGATTTGGGTAGTTCTAAAACCATGACCAGTGAAGTTCAATCATGCACCACGAGTCCAATGGAATTACAAACATAAACCGCTGGATGCCAACTCAATTATCTAAAAGACTTTCTTCTCAGGGCCTAAATGCATTAGCTTCAATGGCTGGGGTGGTCTTGAATCCATACTGATGAGGAATTCCATGCTCAAATGAGACAACTATCTAGTGCTTTCTACTTATTAATGGTTATTTAAAGTCAGTTCGTAATGTAAGCCATGAATAACAAACAAATAGCGAATACATTTTATCATTCGTTTTCGCAAGGTTCATCCCATCTGGCTCTGAACATGACGAGGAGCGGAGTCAGCTTAAGCACAGGCTGATAAGAAGCCTACGTAATGGTCGCGAACAGTGGTGGGTAGAGAAAGCAAGAGAGATAGAAAAGGCAGTGGCATTAGGTAACAGCAGACAACTGTTCAGACTTGCTATGGGAACCGGTATTAAGAGTCCAACTGCTAGCAAAGCTATATCGGAAGAAGATAGACATATTATTCATTCTCAATCCAGGGGTTGGATTGATGGGCAGAATACTTTAGGGGTCAGTTCAACTGGCCTTCAGACAAACTTCGGTTTTCCACGATCTCTAGTCGACTTGATTGGCAAGTTAACCTATGTCCTCCGACTTTTTACGAAGTTGAAAAAGCTACAGGAAATCTGAAGCCTGGAAGAGCAGCAGGTCCTGACAGGTTTACCCCTGAGCTTTTTAAGGATGGCGGTCCAGTATTAGCAGCGAGATTGACTGAGGTCTTAAGTAGAATCTGGGAACTGGACGTAATCCCATCTGACTGGTCTCAATCACTGATTGTGCCAGTCTATAAGAAAGGACAAAAGTCCTCCTGTGACAATCACAGAGGAATTAGTTTGACTAATATAGTGTCTAAAATATTAGCTTCAATAATACTTCGACGTCTAATCAGAGCTCGTCAGGAGCAGACTAGAGAAAACCAGGCTGGTTTTCGACCTGGACGTGGTTGTATAGATCAGATATTCACACTACGTCAAGTCCTAGAACATAGACACACATTCAGACACCCCACAATAGTCGTATTTCTCGACCTTAAGGTGGCATTTGACTCTGTTGATCGTGAGGTTCTATGCCAGTGTTTGTCACTGAAAGGAGTACCAAAGAAGTACATTAACCTTATAAAAACTCTCTACTCGAACACAACTGGTCGAGTAAGAGCTTATGGTGAACTGTCACCAGAATTGATTACCTCAAGTGGTGTTCGTCAGAGCTGTCCATTCTTGTTTAACTTTGCCGTTCACGTGCTTTTAGAGATGACACTTTCCTCATCTAAATTTCCAGGGGCTGAACTTTTACCGGGAGATCCACTTGTTGATTTAGTATATGCCGATGACATAGTCCTATTTGGTGAAGATGCTGACAAAATGCACAGTCTACTGACCACTATCAGCAACAATGCAAGCATATTCGGGATGGGATTCTCCCCCTCAAAATGCAAAATGTTGCTTCAGGATTGGGTTGCATCGACACCCAAACTAGTGATAGGGGATAAAGTAGTTGAGCGTGTCTACCGCTTCACTTATCTTGGAAGTCTCATCAGCCCTTGTGGTCTGGTGTGTGACGAAATCTCAGCACGCATACAGAACGCTCGACTAGGTTTTGCTAACTTGCATCGTTTATGGCGTAGGCGAGATATCTGTCTATCAACCAAAGGACGGGTTTACTGAGCAGCCGTTCATTCCGTCCTACTTTATGGCAGTGAAATGTGGCCGGTAAGAGTAAAGGATATTTGTACGTTACAAGTATTCGACCATAGATGTCTTCGAAACATTGCTCGTATACCCTGGGACCACCGAGTAAGTAATGCAATTGTTAAGAAACGGGGACTAGGTAAGGATGGCAAATCAATTGATGAAGTAGTGAAACTTGATCGGTTGAGATGACTGGGATATGTGTTACGTATGCCCAACAACCGACTGCCGCGACGAGCGATGTTTTATGGTGTAGGAGTAGGTTGGAAGAAAGCTAGGGGCGGCCAGACCAAAACATGGCACAAATCCATGAAGTCACTGACAAGTAGACTGAGTCATGTTGGTAGGTGTAGACTACCTGGTTGGGATCTGCGAGACGATAGCAACCGATGGTTAGAGACCTTGAATGACATGGCTCAAAATCGTCTGCAATGGCGCAGGTGCATCCACTTTTTGTGTTCTCTCAAACTCTAGTTTTCTGAATTCTTCATGTCCTTTATTTTCTTTCCCAATTTATTCCACTGGATTATACTCCTTTAATAACATCATCAAACCTTCATGTCCCCTATCTCTACTTATACTTTCAGTACCTCTACCACTATGGGATTTGATTCGATAACTGAATCTCTGTGCTAATGTGGTATGGCAACTCGAACTGATGTACGTACGTACGAAGTTCTACGTTGTTATTGACTGACTGACTGATTAGTAGTAAATATCTTATTTGTCTAGTACTTAGTATTAACCTTATTCTGTCAACCAATTTGCTAAATATGGCCATCGGTCTACGTGACTTGATATCTTGTGTACAGTGTTTTGATGTTACATTATTGAAGATAGTTAGGAGGAAAGTCAGGTTCAGATAATCCTGCCAACTGACTCCAACCACCTGACATAAATCAATTATATCTGTTATTCTAAAGTTCCAAATTAGAAGTTCTAACTTATATAGGTAACATATATCACGTGTTAGATTTCTGTTTTTTTTTTTCGGACAACTTCTATAGTCTTATTATACACCAGTCACTATATTACATTAAGATACCTGTGTTGATTAAACTGGTTTAACTAATACTTTACTTATATTAGCAGAAACCAAGCTAACTTAACCTCTCTATCTAAAGTCATATCGTTCAATATAAGTAAGCAATATTAGAAAAGAATTTGCAATCATAACTACAGTGACTATAAATTATGAATAGCAAAATATGTGGACAGTGTTATTATTACCATTATTTCCATCAAATAAAGCAATAATATCCTTCATTGTTACAATGTAATTCAACTTGGTGAATATTTCCTCAAATTGATAAGAATAAAGATCAAAGCATTAGAGAAGTATTTCTTGTTACGTTGTTTATAAAAAAAACATAATTTAAATGTTAATTTTAATGGTCAATTGTTTAACATGAAACCAAATATTCATATTTCAAAGAGAAATTCTTTTCTTAGTTATATTTAAATATTTTGTCATTATATAATCGGTTAGTTATAAATGAAAACAATGGAATGTTGTAAAAGATGATCCTTTCTCAAGTTCGACCATATAACAACATTTTATTAATGGTGGCAACAGGTAGGAGATTGAATTAAGAAGAAATACTTGCACTGAAATGTGGACACATTTTTTTCTCCCTGGAATATTGAATAACTAAAACTGCACACCATTAAGTTTCTCTCAAATTCCTTTTTATATCATA